AAAGAGAGGGAGAGGAGAGGCTGGTGGTGTAATTCAGTGGTAGAGCCCTTACCTAGTATATGCATTGTACAAAGCTCTGGGTTTGGTCTACAGCACAACTTAAGGGGAGGAAAAAAAGGATTCTTTACTGATGCATGTGTACACCTGTGGTCTTAGACACTTATCCTGGATACTTGGAAGGCTGAGGCAGGAAGACTGCAACTTCAAGTCTCCTCTAGGCAACTTAGTGAGCCCTCCTCTCAAAACAAAAAAATAAGAAGAGCTAGGGGAGGAGCAGAAGGGGGAGGAGGAAGGAGGATAAAGGAAGGGAGGGAGGGAAGAAAGAGAAGGAAGAAGGCAGCCTGGGCTGCATAGCTCAGACATTGTCAATGAGGAAAACCTGGCAAACAAAAATTATCACCGTGGTACTCTGCCTTGCTTACATTGTGGTGCTGCTCTAGACCTGCTGCTTTTCCAGGTTCATTGTCATTGAGTGCCCGCTACATCCTCGGTCAGTGTTGGTGAACCTGTGGCTCGAGGGCTGCAGCTGGCTGTCAGTCCTGTTAGTCTAAAATGTTCGCCATCACTGTTCCAGGTTGTGGGTGAGATTAGGGCAAGAGAAAGTATTTGCTCTTGTGGAGTTTATAGTTTTATTTGCTTGTTTTTAGTGAGATTTTACTTTTTTTTTTGAAAGTAGGAAAAATGCTGGGTTTAGTGGCACACACACATAATCTCAGCACTTGGAAGGCTGAGGTAGGAGGATCACCATGAGTAAGGCCAGCCTGGGCTACAAAGTGAGTTCAAGGCCAGCCTGAACTGCATAGTGAAACACTGTCTCAGAAAGGAAAAAAACTATCAGAAAGGAGACATGCTGTATAGAGCATGTGGGCCAGTTAAAAGCAGGAAAAGAAGTACATTCCACAGGGTGACAGCGCATCACTGTGAAAGAGAGAGCAGAGCACAGTGGCCTGTGGGTTTTTTGAGACAGGGTTAAGCTATGTAGCCCAGCCTGGCCTCCTTTCTCAACTGAACATGTGCTACCCCAATAAACTGCACCCCTCAAAATAAGGCAACAGCCAAGAAATAGGGTTTTTTGTTGTTGTTCATGGTGATGGTTTGGTTTGGTTTTTTGAGACAGGCTCTTGGTGTATGTCCAGGCTGGCCTTGAACTCACTGAACTCATTGAACTCCTTCTGCTTTGGTTTCCTGAGTGCTGGGATTATAGACGTGTGCCACTGTACAGGTTCCAAGAAATGTTTTAGCACATCTCTCTACAGTAATGTCCCTAAGCACAAAGTAAAGCGTGAAGCCAGGCAGAGTGTACAAGTTAGAGAGGAGCTGACTCAAGTGGTGACAGAATCCCAGAGGGTGACAGCCTAGTGGACCTGTGCCATTGTGGATAGAGTTTGGCATCTTTCCTCGCCCCCGCCCCCCCACCTCATCCTGCAAGCTGTCCCACAGTAACTGCTCTCTGCAGATAGTACTCTAGGGACATGTTATGTGTCACTCCGTAGCTGTTCCATCATTGGGCCGATGAGGCAGGAGTCCTCCTGTTCCATCCATGTAGGCTCCCGCAGAGCCCTCTGGTTATCTCCTGACACCCTGCCCAGACACACCTGGGTGTGGCCTTGACTCAGCAGCCATTTGTACCACTTGAGTCCATGGAGAGTAAGAGAAGTGGCACAAGGATGGCTCAGAGGTGAGGCCCTCGCTCATCCCACTTCTGCCAAGCCAGGTGGCCTGCAGCTCCCAGGGGAACGCAGGTCCCACATCAGTGGCAAAGGCCTCCCACCCTTGGGATCTTGGGCAAGTCGCTTAACGTCTCCAAGCCTCCGCTTCTCCCACCAAAGCAGGATGCTGGTAGCCCGAGTGGAAGGGTGCCAGTTTACCCTGTGCTGCTGCCCCTCCTCCTCCTCAGGACTCAGGCAGGCCGCTTAGCTGCTCCTCCTCTCAAAGACACCTGCTTGTGAGCCAGTTCTGCCCGAGAACAGAATTCCAGATGGACAAGATCTTGGGGCACCTTCCTGTCTGGCCCTCCAGGCCTCTGCAGTTCAGCAACCTCTTTCCCACAACAGCTACTTTAAAACACTTCCAGCAAGCAAGGTGTGGTGGTGCGCACCTGTAATCCTAGCACTCTGGGAGGCTGAGGCAGGAAGATCCAGAGTTCTAGACAAGGGTGGGCAACTTAGTGAGTTAATGAGACCCTGTTTCAAATCAAAAGGTCCTGGATTCAACTCCCAGTGCTGCAGGGAAAAAACACCAAACTTTTTTCCCTTTTGTGGACCCTTTATTGTGCCAGGCGTGAGGTCATGACCCTGGAGCGCTTGCCTCCCAGGGACTTTGCTGGGCAGTGGCCAGGAAAAGATACACAGTCCATCTCTCAGATTCCGTAAGGACAGTGGCACCGGTAATGAGGGACCGCAGTGCACTGAGCTGACATTCCAGGAGGACTTCACTGGCCAGGGGAACCAGAGGGGTCAACCTGTGCAAGTCAGTTGCAGTAAGTGCCAGGGGGTGAGGAAAGGTGTGTGGTGCAAGGCCAGAGCCCTGGAAAGGGAGTCGGTTTTATTCCCAGGACAATGGGAAGTCCTGAGACCAAATGGAATTTTAGATTTCCTGAGCTGGGTTTGTTCCCTGGTAACTCCAAAAAAAAGGACACGCTCACCAGCTTCCGCTGTGGAGAGGGCCTCGGAGCCAAACCTTGGCTGACTTCTGCCCCAGAAGAGAAGGGACCTTAGACATGGCACAGGCACCCGTGCCCCTCTCTGGGGAAAGTGCCAGAGGTGCGTTTTAGGCCCAACTACTTGATTTTTCCAGAGAAGCAGGGAGGTAGGCAGGAAGTGGCCTCACCTCTGGTCCTTGCTAAGGACTCCTGCCTCTGAGCAGGAGGGCAGGAAGCCGAGTCAGGATATAAAGGAAGAGGAAGTCATCTTCCTTCACTGAGCAGCCCGAGCCAAGCCTCTGAGCATCTAAATGTTTAGAAACTGAGTGGTGGTGCATGCCTGTAACCCTAACTCTTGGGAAGCTGAAGCAGAAGGATCGCTGTGAGTTCAAAGCCAGCCTGGGCTGTAGCAAGACCTTAGCTCAAAAAAAAAAAAAAAAAAAAAGCAGCCTTTGTCTGCCCTTGTGGAAGTAAGGAGGGACAAGGGTCTGTCTGGAAGGCTGAGTGATAGCAGGTCTTGAGAGAGGGCTGCAAGCTCAAGTGGCCTTTGGGTCCCTTGTCCCTGGCCAACTTCTCAGTGCTGGGCCCCTCCCAGGACTCACTGGCAGAGAGGCTGGGGGGGGGGGGAAGGAAACTGGTGCTGGAGCCCAGCCTCACCCTCGCTCTCCCCCAGGGGGCCTCTGCAACCTGTGTGCAGACAGGGCCAACAGGGAGCACATCCTGCGGGCGGGCGGTGTCCCGCTCATCACAGACTGCCTGTCCAGCCCCAACGAGGAGACCGTGTTGTCAGCAGTCACCACACTCATGTACCTGAGCGCGCCAGGCAGTGGCCTGCACCCTGAGCTCACCGCCCTGCCCGTGGTCCAGTGCATGCTGCGCTTCTCTCTCTCAGCCAACACAAGGCTCCGGAACCTGGCCCATATCTTCCTGGAGGACTACTGCTCCCCAGCTCAGGTGGCTGAAGCCCGCAGCCGGCAGGCCCACTCTGCCCTGGGTATCCCCCTGCCCAGGGCTGAGGCCCCACAGCAGCCCTGATCTGAGGGGGCCCCAGGGCTCCACTCAGCACCTTTATTCTGCAGACCAAATCCTGGTAGGAGCATAGGAAGCAGGACAGCTCAGTCCACAAAGTGCTGGCCTGCTCAGTGCCTTGACGTGAGGTGACTCAATGCGATAGGCACTCGAACTGGGGTGAATGGCGTGCAGTGTCGAGGCCTGGCTTGGAGGCACACAGAGGTGCAAGCTGAAGCTGGTACCACATTCACACTGACACCTACAAAGACTGACGTGCCACTCTGTGTCAGCAGTAGCTAATTCCTGGGCCTGAGGCGTAGGACAGTTGCCTGTACCTAAACAAATAAAGGATCACCTCCTGACAGCAGTATCCAGAGTAATTCCAAGACACCCATTCCTTAGCATCACGAAAAAATAAAAACCACCTTGACGTACATTGGTAATTACAGAAATCCAGGAAGCTGAAGCAGGAGGATCACAAGTTTGAGCCCAGTGTGGGTAACAGCCAAAACCCGGAAATGTAGATCAGCGCAAAGCTCCTGGGCTGAATCCCCAGTGCTGTTGTTCCTTGAGTCCCAGGAAGCCAGGGAAGATGTCATGCCCCTCCGGGCCTGTGGAGGATAGAGACCCCTGTGTCAGGTCTGCACGCTGGGCATGGATGCTGATGCAGATAGCTGCCATCTAGGATTAACTGTCCACATAGACTGTCAGATCCCACATAAGAGCTCCCAAGATAATGCTGTTGTCCAAACCCATGAGTGACACAGCCCAGTGACTAACTTGGTTGCCAGGCATTAAGACCCTGGAGGTGATGACAGATCAGAAAAAGGCAGGAGCCTTTAGCCAGGTATGGTGGCTGTGCCTGGAACCTCAGCACCTGGGAAGCCGAGGCAGAATCGGTGTGAGCTGGAGGACAGCCTGGGCTACACCCTGTCTCATGAGACGGGCCCCTCAGCTAGAACCACTGCAAACACAAATGGAAGCCTGGCCACCCTGCTGTCACAGCTGATGAGGTGGCATTCTACCCCTCAGTGTCCCCTTGTGTGCATGAAGGCTACAGGGATGCCTCAGAGGAAAGAGACGGTCTGGGACACTGGAAGAAATGGCTACGCAGGTGTAGCCTGGTGGTGTGTGTGCACTGGGCTGTAGAAAGGTGCCTGATAGGAACTTGGGATTTTGGAAAAGTGGGGGTGTGGTGTTTACTCTCCCCTGCTAAGCTTGACCCTATAGGTGGCCAAAAAGGCCATACTAGAGAAACAGTGACCGGGCAGGACTGGAAATGGCCTCAGTCCTGGAGCCCCTAAACTTAACCCGGTCCCTTTCCTTTCCCAAATAAAAAGACTTAAAGACCAGAGAGCCAAATTTTTTTATTAAAACACACTTGCCTGATGTTTGTCACTGTGATTCCGTGCCAGCCATGCTGGGGGACCACTGAGGGAGGTACCAGGGGACTGAGGGTGTGTCCTGTTGTGCCTGCCAGGAGTGACCTGGCCCCCTCCCGGCAGCACCATCCACTACAGATCTCTCTCCTGCCTCGCAGCTCCCCGCTTGCTGTCTATGATGTCCCTCCAGCTGTCACTCCAGGAGAGCAGCCGTCTCCTGGTGGGAGGCAGAGCTAGGTGCTGGTTGTGGCAGCAGGTGAACAAGATGTGCTCCCAGCGTGGCACCTGCTCCAGGCCTGGCACAGAAGAGCAGTGGGCATGTAAGCTGGTGGTTTATACTCCCTCTAATTGGGGCAGGCCACGTGGGTAACAGCTCCCACCTCGAATGGTGTCCTTGTCGTCAATGAGGAGGTCCCCCAGGACCATGGTCTTGTCCCTCGTCAGGATAATGCGCTCTACAAACTGGGGCCCGAGGTGCCGCTCCACCCAGCGGTACTGTGCGGAAGACAGCAGTCTCAGTGCAGCCTGGGGGACCCTTGGTGAGCAGGGGGTGGGAGTGCTCAAAGGTCAGTTCCTCTCTCCCCCAGCCCTCACTGTCTTTGTGTGATTTACCTTTAAAACTGATTTATAACGCTAGCCAGGCATACTTATACACTCCTATAATCCCATGACTTGGGAGCCTGAGGCCAGAGAATCTTTAGCTGGATACCAGCCTGGGCTACAAGCAAGTTTTACAGGTCACTCTGAACGACACAGACCCTGTCTCCAAAAAAAAGATTATTTTTTTAAAAGGTTTAATTTGTGCCATTACCTTCTCGCCCACACAGTGGTGGTACTTCAGTATTGGGGTGGTGCAGATGAAGACCTCGGTGCTGCGGACAAGGTGCCAGTAAGAGAAGGCGGCGTCGCCGGCACTCCCCGTCCATGTCCCTCTCTCTCCCGCCCAATCCTCCTTACTCTTGCATGTCGTTCATCTCCCGCATGGCTTCCACGGCCCCCGGGATGGGGTCCAAGTCTAGGAAAAAGCCCGGGGCTTCATACACACTGGCCACTTTATCCTGCAAGACAGAGGTCTCGGTTCCCTCCTGCCTCCAGCAGGTGGCGCCCCGGCAAGGGCACACAATGGGCGCTCTAGGTCCGCACAGCGGCAGGAGACGGGGGGAACGCTCCATGAAGTTCTTGTCCCAGGGTGAATGCACTCTGGGCTCACAAGTGGGTGGTAGCCGGGGGTGGTGGCGCATCCCTGCAACCCCGGGACTCGGGGAGGCTGAAACGACGGCTGCAAATTCAAGCCCATCCTGGGCAACCTAGTGAGACCCTGTCTCAAGATAAAAGCTTAGAAAAGCGACCTGAATTCAACCCCCAGTACTGGGACGTGTGGCTGTTCTGTTCATTGCAAAGGGAACGGGGTTCCCTGGAGCGGAGCCCGGCCCGCCCTGCCCAGAGGGGCTCCGCTCTCCTACCGCCAGATCCGGCCGCAGGGCGCGATACTGCTCGCGGGCCAGGAAGCCCCGGCGCTGCTCCAGCGGCACGTGAGGCTCCTCCGGGAAGCGGCAGCGGAAGCCCCGCAGCAGGCCGGCCTCGAAATCGGCCAGCACGCCATCCATGTCCACCAGCACGCGCACTGGTCGCGACTCCATGGCCGTGCGGCGCGCACAAGGGAGCCTCTCGCTGGGACTGGCCACTTCCCTCCTCGGCCGATGGGCGGGGCTCGGCTGGGTTAATTTGCATAGAGCGCCTGGGGAACGCCTCTGACGCGGGCTGAGGTCTTCCAATCCGCGCGTGCGGGAAGCCTCCTAAAGCCGTGGGGCGAGTCGCTGACGGGTTAGGGTTGGTTATTTTTGTGATCCACATGAGCCACCTTGCGTCCCTACAGCAGACATATCCTCCCCTGATCCCACATAGTTATTAGGAGCAGACTTTCCAAGGGGCGACCTAATATACTGGGGAGCATCTTCTAAAGATTCAGCTCCTCAATCCAGTGGGGCTGGCTCCGCACTTGAGAATTCATCTCTGCAGTCCGGGGCCACTGTGAGCTCTGCCGTCTCTGTGGCGGAGCTCCTGCTGCTTGAAGGAGCACCTACCGCCGCCTGAATCGGGGGCCCTTCGTTACTGAAGTAAACAGATCTGCGGAACACAACTGGAGTGTGAGTCAAGCTCCAAAGAGACCGACGCTTAAGCCAGCGTTGTTCTGAAGTCTGATTCCACTTGGAAAGGCGATTTCCATCCGGCTCCGGGAATCAGAATTGCCCTTGCTTTCTCCGAAACAATCTCACATCGGATCAGAAGCTTCTGCCTCCCACACCCCGAAAATGCTGAACATTTTGAAAGTTTGCTGACTTCACCATGTTTTCAGACTACATCCAAATCTATTCACCTACGGACTATAATGACGTCTGTTCGCCATCTGGCTACTACTCCCAAATCGGTGTGGCAAATGTGTAACCAACGTGGAACTTTAAAAGTTAGATTTTTTTTTTTTTTAAGATAAGCAACTGCTCCAAACTTCCTCCTGCTGAGCACACACCCAATATCTCCACCTCTCCTCGGGCCAAAAGAACTGACAGAATACGCAGGTGCCGGGCTCAGGAGGAGGAAGCCTGGTGTCCTTTCCACAGGAAAGAGGATTAGATGAAGATGGCAGGAAGTGACTGAGGACCATGGAGAGCTGCCTTATCTCTGCGCTCCCCTCCCCCATGTTCCTAAAGCCCCTTACACACCTGGACTGGAGGAGATCATGATTTGAGGCAAATGGGCCCTTTCATCTCCTTGGAGCTAGCTTTGAATAAACCTTTTCGTTTTCCCCAGAATGCATGATCTCCTTTGGTCAGTGGCCAGCAAATGAACTTAAGCTTTGAAAAATGGCAGGGAACAGAAACATTACAAGGGGGAGCCTGACACCTCATTGTACAGGACATCTGCATAAGCCATAAATACCAAGTGTCCAACTGTTCTGTTTCCCTGTTATTAGGGAAGTGAAGTCACATAAACTGAGTCATAAGTCCAGCTGCCATAAAGTTTTTACCTTTTGGGAAGGGCTCCCCCCCCCCATATTGGAGATGAACTCAGGGCCTTTGCAGATCCCTAGACTTTTTTGAGACAGGGTCTTGCTAAGTTACCCAGGCTGTGCTCAAACTTACTATCTTCCAGCCTCAGCTTCCCATAGTACTAGGATTACAGGCATGCAGCACCACACCCAGCCACCTTTTCAGACTTGAGTTGTTTTTTTTTTTTTTTTTTAGACTTGAGTTTTCTTAATCTAGAAACATCCTCTAAAAATGTTTCCTAAAATAATACCAAAATAACTGGTTGAAATGTCCCCTTGCCCAGAACACTTTTCATTTTAATAAAGTGCTTATATATCTTCATAGAATAAAAAGTTAAAGGCCAAGCACAGTAGTGCATGCCTGTAATCCCAGCACTCGGAAGGCTGAGGCAAGAGGATTGCCAAGTTTGAGGCCAGCCTAGGTTACATGGTGAGACCTTGTCTAAAAAAATTAAAACGAAGTATCAAGTTGTGACACAAACCAAAGACATTCCTTTTCTGGGAGCCTCATCTTTACTAATAGGCTGACAAGGATCCGTTTACCTCTTTCAGATTTGTGGTAGAAATCCCAAAACACTGAAGCCTGGTGTAACTGTGTCAGTACTATTAGGAAGAACCTGCGGCAGACGCTTTGAGTCAAAATTTTGCAAACACTTTATAAATACAATAAGGGAAGAACCTAAAGTCTTGCAATCTAATAGTCCCTTATTCTCCCAAAATACAGTTTTTCCAAGGTCTCATTGTACTAACTAGGAACTAAAAGCCTAAGTAATAAGCCAAAGGAGCAGAGTAGGTCAGTACCACAGCTACACCTAAAGCTAGGTCTTAAAGAAACTCCAGGAGCTGGGGATTTAGCTCAGCGGCATAAGCACCTGCCTTGCAAGCAGGCGGTCGCGAGTTCGATCCTTGGTACCGATAAAAATGAAAAAGACAAAAAAAAAAGCAACTCCAGTATTTGACATGTCTTGCCAATTAGACACTCTCCTATCCTCGGGTTCCCCATCACCTGAAATTCAGTTTCCCACATTAAGACAGGAAGTTCAGGCTGGCTTCAGACTTACAATCCTCCTGCCTCAGCCTCCCAAGTGCTGGGATTAGAGATGGGCCACCAGGTCCATCTAACACTCTTCTAATTATGTGGTGGTTTCTTCCTTTATAGCTCTTTGATTTTAATTGTTTATTGGTATATTTTAGGTATACATAATGATAATTCACCAGAGGGAATTTGTACCTGTATACATCTTGATTTTTTTCCCATTCTCCTACCCTTCCTTCAATACCTCTCCCCTTTTCATTTTTGCTTCTTTTCTTCACCTCCCCTACTTCCCCTTCGAACATTTTCTATTTCAAAATATCTATTATAAATTTTCATCCTTATTTATACTTTGCTTCTCACATCAGAGAAACTATGTAGTATTTATGTGTGTCCGATTTATTTCACTTAAGGGTATGCGCTCATTTACTTAAAAATGTTTCAGGTTTATCCTTCTTTATGGCTGAGTATACAAGAACCGCATCTTCTTTATTCATTCATCAGTTGATGAACACTGTGTAGCCTTCCTCTTTGAACACCTACACTCAGAAGGACTGCATGAGTACAGAGATAACTCACTTTTGCTTTGAGGGCAAGCGAGAGCTTCCCACATGCTCAGCACATGCACTGCTACTGAGCCTCACCCCAGCCAGAGGCTTAGCCCCATAAATGACTGCCCAGCATAAAGGGCACTGGTGGAAGAGACTTTGCAGAAGAGCCCACTTCCCCCTTAGCCTCCAGGACTTTTAAATGATCTATCACAGGGAGGGCTTAAGAGTGGCAAAGAAAAGAGCCAGAGGGAGAAGACTCAAAAAGGTGACACAGGGTCACGTTTAGCTCAGCTGCACAAGCGCCTGCCTGGCAAGTACCAGGTTATAAGTTCGATCCCTCAGGAACAAAAGAAGACGACGACGACACAGGACACAGCATTTCAAAGTGTGGATATTGTTTACTGTGAAGTACAACACACATTTTAAGAATGAGATTTGTTTCATGGTCAAGCACCAGCATCATGCACACAGCATCGAATTACTGAGCAGTAAGAACAGCCTCCCTGCAGGTCTGCCCTGGACAAAGCCCCCCTGTGGGGCCGCGGCTCACCCGGATCCCAGGCCTCCTCTGGCAGCATGCGGCAGCAGGCTCTCTCCGGCAGGAGGCTCTCTCCGGCAGGAGGCTCTCTCCGCTCATCAGCCAGCTACTTTGGTTACTTTGCTCTGCAGGTAGAGAGGCCTGGCCCCTCTCCATTCCGGGTGGCACAGGGGGAACACGGATGGGGCCGGATGACTGCCAGAAAGAAGCCTGCAAAGAGAGCCGGGCGCGGGGCCGCTGGGCTGCAGGGACAGGGGAGGATATGGCCCCAGCGCCGATCACCCCGGAGAGGAGAGACTTCAGAACGAGGGAGCCTCTGACATCGGGATCCAATCATCAAAACACGGTACTAAGTGTCCCAAGCCTTCCCTTCAATCTACTGCTAAAAAAACACTCATGCCATGGCCCACAGACCCAAGAGTCAGACAGAGAGCAAGACCTGTTCTTCCCAAAGAAAAGAAAGCAGGGGGAAAAAATGACAGCAGTACATAAAGTGCTTCTTTTTTAATGAATCAAATCCAAAAGATGTACAGTCAGGCTCAAGTTGTGCAGTTCACAAGCATGGAGAGAAAACAAACAAACAAAATGACAGAGTTCAGGACAGGGAGTTAACCCAAGACCAGGCTGGACTTGCCGCCGGGGGGGTTTCTCCGAGACGGCGCAGGGGCCACCGGGCTGGGCACAGGCGCGGCGGGCACGGGCTTCTCTTCGCTCGGCCCCAGGCTGGCTTGCAAGTCTGTATCCACATTTTCTAGGAAAATAAATAACAAAACAAGTAATAACCTCTCCCAATTAAAACCAAAAGGGTGAGTTATTTGTTTGAGGATGGCTACAAACGTACCTAAAATCATAAAGAAATCATGTTTCAGCAACTCCGATTTGAACACTGTTGCTGTTTGGTATATTTTTTCTAAGTAGGCTCCTTTAAAATTATACTGGGGAGGCTGAGGCAGGAGGATTGTCGCAGATTTGAGACCAGCCTGGACTACAAAGTGAACTCAAGGCCAGCCTGCACTGCAAAGCCTCAAAAATACAAATACAAATAAAAATTAATTAAAATTACACAAATACGTCTGGGGAGTGAACTCAGGGTCTCCTACCCATACTAGGCAAGCTCTCCTATCACTGAAGTACACCACTAGTCCCCTCCTTTGGGTAGGGGAGGACTGAGGACTGAGCCCTTTAGTTTTTTTATTTTTATGGTTTTGTTTGGCACCAGGAATTGAACTCAGGACCTTGTGCTTGCCAGGCAGACACTGTTCCAATGAGCGACATCCCCAGCCCCAGCCCTTTTTGAGCTAAGATGTTGCCAAATTGCATGGGCTGGGTTTGCTTTGCAGTCTCTAGCCCTGGCTTCCTAGAGTACTAGGATTATAGGCTATGTACCTACTCCTGGCTTTTATTTTACTCATTTTGGGGGGACAAAGCTTTGCTAAGTCCTTCAGTTGCCTACACTGGCCTGTAACTTGGGATCCTCATGCCTCAGCCTCTCACACTGTTAGGGGGTGATAGGTTTACCCCTCAAACCCAACCTGTACTTCAAATTTTGAATTCTACTTTTTCCAGCCTGGCACTGCACTATACCACACAGTTGTGATGCTGAGCCACAGCTCCCCATCTGCCAATCCATCATGGGAGTAATAACTGATTTTGCAGTGTGCTTTTTACTAAGTTATCATATCTAGTTAGAGACACTGAATGCACTGTAAACATTTATAGCTGGGTGTGGTGCTACAAGCCTGTAATCCTAGCACACAGGAGGCTGAGACAGGAGGAGTATCATAAGTTTCAGGCCAGTCTGGGCTACATAAGCAAGTTCAAGGCAAGCAGCCTGCAATATAGAGTGAGACCCTGTCTCAGAGAGAGAGACAGACAGAGACAGAGAAACCAAACAAACCACAAAGAACTAAAAATAAAATGAAAGGGGCTAGGACTGTAACTTAGTACCAAGTCAAGGGGTAAAAAATGTTATTTCATTCCTGGTTTTTTTGTTATATTACCATAATTACTAGGTAAAGTATTGTTTTATCCACATGGACAGCCAACTTACTGACATCTAGCTTTCCCTTTCTGAGTGGCAATAACTTTTCTATTAATTAGGACACTTATATTTAAATTAACTGGGCACTTCCCACTTTAAAGTCCTGAGCATTATGATATTATTATCCAATACTAAAGCTACTGCTTAATTCAGTCAGAGTGGTGAAATCTCAAAAAGCACACATCCTTAAAGAAACTGCTTCACAGCATAAGTACCTGCCTTGCAAGCAGGCGGTCGTGAGTTCGATCCCCGGTACGGATAAAAAGGAAAAAGACAAAAAAAAAAGAATCACAAGGATAAGGATAAAAATGTAGCACTGTCTAAACTGCCTGAAGGCCCCCTGAATCTCCCAGACGGCTGCATGGACAGCTGCTCCCCAGCAACTCCCACTTTCTCAGAGATTTCCTGAGACAGCAGTTCAAAGTCCTCTGTACAGCCATTCCCAGGTTTAATTACCCAAAGGTCAAGGCAATGTCTTTGTCTTTTTTTTTTTTTTTGGTCTTTTTGAAACAGGGTCTGGCTATGAAGTTTAGACGACCTTGGGCTCACATTTCTAGCCCAGGTTGGTCTTGAATTTGCAAAGATCTGTCCTTTATATGCAAACAAAATTTGCCCCTGTTTTAAGGTAATTACAGTGTCTTCCTTGTACAACAGAATTATAGGCCTACACCCCCCATCTGGCTCTGATAAGCATTAGGAAAAAAGAGAAAATTTTGGAATGGTTGCTGACACCTGAAATCCCAGAGGCTGAGGCAGGAGGATTACTGCAAGTTGGAGACCAACCTGTGCTACATAGTGAGTTCAAGGTCTACATAATGAAACCTGGTCTCAAAAAGACAAAACAACAACAACAAAAATTTCACTGGGCAAGATGGCAGGGTGCTAAGCAGTAGAGAAAGTGCCTGCTGGAGAGTCCCTGTCCAGATCCTGGAACATAGCAACGTGAGGACAAGCAGGAGGAGGAAAGCGGGTACCCTGGAACCAGGAAGAAGGTGAAGCATGAACTGAAGCCCATGGAGAACATGACCAGGAAACTCCAGGGCCTGGGGATTAGCTCAGTTGCACAAGAACTTGCGGGCAAGGCTGAAAAACAAGAGACACAGGGAAGTGGAAGCACCTTGTCCCTAAGATGCGACTCAGTGTGTGAGAAGAGCAGTTTGAACTGCAGACACACAGCAACGGTGACGGTTCATGACCCCGGTAGCCTCTGCAGAGAGAAGCAGCAGTGCAGGCGAGCAGCGAACATGACGGACTGCCTGGGCTGGCAGTGAGTAAAAGGGGCTCAGTCTTCCCCAGGGAGACAGCAATTGGCCTGGAGCCATCCTGGAGACCTAGCTGGAGATCCAGCTAGTGGCTCCCAGCAGGGCTCGGACCCGTGGAAGATGCTCAGAAGGCGCTGCGCCAAATGCCACCTTACTGAGATAGATCCGCACGGACCAACACTCTGTTTCCCCAGACTGTCTGCCAGCGAAAACAGAGACAAAACTGGACATACCAGGAAGTAGACTTTTTTCCTTCTTCATCTCTCTCACATTTGTTTTTGATTTTTAGTTTTTGTTTTCTTTTTCTCTGTCTCAATTGTTTGATCTTGTTTTTATATGTGCGACTGATTTCTAGCCTCACTGTGGTTATGATTCTGTTCTGTTCTTTCCTTTCTTCCTTCACTCTTCCCCTCCAGTCTTCTATACCAGTTTCCCAAAGTTAGCGTGATACCTACCTTAGTCCTCCAACCTTATTTCTAATCTCTTCCACTTCTTCCAATTCTCTATTTTCTCTTTAAACTATTTTAAATTTTAAGCCCCGAGGGCAAAATTCACATATCAATTGGCATATCATCGTATACTGCAAATAATTTTTTGGTTTTAGATTTTGTTTATAACTACAAATCTAGTTCATACGGTTAAAAGTGGCAAATTAAGGGTGAGCTCATTTCCTAGGATCAGGTTTTTTTTTTTTTTTTTTTAACTTTTTATCGGTACCAGGGATCGAACTCACGACCGCCTGCTTGCAAGTATGCCGCTGAGCTAAATCCCCAGCTTCTAGGATCGGTTTGATGCTCTTGGTACCACTATAGTCAAAATGGACATAACTTTTCTAAACAGCTGTTGGTCCTGGTATCCCACAACAGCGATTGGCTAAGAGTCACAGAAAACACTGTGGCACAATGCCCAAGAACCACAGACTGGGCCAAACGAGCAACAAATTCTCATCTGCAACAAAATGAAGAAAGAAGTAGGATACTCCAATAGACACAAAACCTAAGAACCGCTACTCCTGAAACATACTGCAGAGTCGTAACCATCACCTGAGTCTGAAATACTAGCAATAAAGCAACCCGCCATAGGCAATTTACCCCAGGAATTAAACTAAAAAATAAGAAAAAAGAAAATGAAAAGACACTTAAACAAAATGTAACCCCAGACATCCAGTTCACCAAAAGCACACCCAGGAGGCAACAAGGTGAAATAATCCAAAAGCCTCCCACCACACCTCTCTGAAATGGTAATAACAAAGCAATTGAATGAAGCTCTGGAAAAAATGAAATCTGAAATAATCTCTCAGATAACTACAGAGATGGATCCAAAATAAAGACAACATTTAGTGCAGATACAGAAAAAAAAAAATAGAGCTTAAGAAAGTTATGTAAGCTCAGCATAGACAAGAAATGGAAGACACAAAGTAAATTCAAGCAGATATCCAGGAGAATAAAAATTCCATTGAGGGCCAAGAATTTGGCTCTGTGGCATAAGACCTGGCACCTGCCAGGTCCAGGGTTCAATCTCCAGTACCCAAAAAAAAAAAAAAAAAAAAAAAAAAAAAAATCCATTGAAAGTATTCGAAGTGCATTAGGTCAATGTGAGGACAAGATCTCAGATACTTAAGACAAGCTTGCAGTTAGTGACCATGAAAAGAAAGATTTCTCAAGAATAGCAAGGGACCATCAATCCAGCAGCTGCTAGATGAGACAAACAAGAACTTAAGTTGATTGGGGACAATCAAAAGCAAGAGATACCACAAATGATATTAAAAAATGTTTATAGATAATTATGGCAGAAAACTTCCCCAGTAGAGAAAAAGAATTTGACATACACACAAATGAGGCATATAGGATTCTAATTAGCAAAGATCAAAAAAAAAAAATCTACAGCCAGGCACATCACAGTCAAGATGCTAGAAATTCAACTCAAGAATATAATCTTAAAAACTGTTAGGGGAAAGAAACAAATCACCTAAAAAGGAAAGCCCATTTCAGAATCACAGCTGATTTAGCACAAACTCTCAAGTCAAGGAGAGCTTGAAGTGAAGTATTTCTTTTTTTCTTTTTCTTTTTTTTTATCTTTTTTGTTTTTATCGGTACCGGGGATCGAACTCGTGACTGCCTGCTTTCAAGGCAGGCGCTTATGCCGCTGAGCTAAATCCCCAGCCCCTGAGCTAAATCCCCAGCCCCGAAGTGATTTTTTTTTCTTTTTTTTGTCCTGTTTGCAGTATCATACATGATCATCAAACTGCTGCTAGAATGTTCACACCTGTTACTGCAAATTCAAAACCCAGGGAAAACTTCCGCTGGGAATTTACTTTAGGTCAGGGTGGGGCTGCCTGGTACGAGGCTGCACCCACCACGGGGCGGGGTCAGTCACACAGGAGCCTTTCCCCGGACCATAAAGTGAAGTATTTCAAACTCTAAAGGAAAACAACGTTCAACCCAGATTGCTGTATCCTGCAAAACTATGTTTCAAAATTGATGGAGAAATAAGATACTTCCATGACAAAGAACAGCTGAGAAGACTGACAACCGTTCTGAAGGACATTCTAGATAGAGATAATACGGACTACAGTTCAGTGAACTCCAGCAGAAGGAATCTACCAGGAAAGGCAAACAATTAGAGGGAAAGAAAAAAAGGGGAGAGCCGATAACAGGAAAATAACACAACAAGGGTAAGTCGATACACTTCAACTATAAACATCAAGTTAATGGCCCTAATTCACCAATCCAAAAACACATTTGCAGAATGGCTCAAGAAGCAAG